CGGGGGGGCCGGGCTGGGCCCGGGCATACGGGCTTGTTTTCCTGCCAGCCCTGAGGTTTAATTGTTTGCCCCTTTTGGCAGAGGCGAGGGCTGCTCGTCGGTTTTGTAAAGTCACTGACCAGAGGCTGGGCACGGTATCCGTGAGACCAGGAAATGAATTTTGCCTTTAAAAGCAGTAGTCTAAAGGTTTCATCCTCTTCCTCGTTTATGCCTAAACTGGCAACCCATATATGAAACATAAACTAACTGGGACTACTAATAATTGTACAGCTTTTAGCACTTCACTTCTGACCTCTGATTTTTGACCCAGGTAGCTTTTGGGTTTGTGTCCTGGATCTCGGAGAAGAAAGACCTTATTTTTGGAAGCAGCAGAGGGTTACACTCTCTCAGGCTCTGCTCAGGCCGAAAGAGCCATAATAAATACACTAAAGTTTGATCTGTATGCCTTGTTTGCAGGTCTAGTAATTAAGTGTGGATTGTCCCTGCAATGAACATACTTTTGTCTTATTTGTAATTTGTTCTCCTTCCATTTGCAGGAATTACTATTACTGGTGTAAGGACATTGGTGTGAAGACATCATAGTGATAGGTAGGTCTTCATAGCTCAGCTGACTCTCCTGCTGGGATGACGACCAGCCACAACTGTATCCTAAGTGCCAGGCAGGTCTTGTATTTACAGCCGTTCACAAACAAGAATGCAGTGTATAGTGTGGGGAATTTTTACCCTTTCTTCTTTTTTAAGGGAAATACTTGTACTGCCAACTGTCTCAGCAATCACAGGCTTGAATTTCTGCGCAACTGTAACTAGGGCGCCTCGGTATTAAGGTTAACGTCATACACCAGCAATGCACAGTATTAATCTGAAGCACAGAGTGTCAAAACACTTTTCAGACATTTCCCTCTTACGGTAATTCTGCACCAAGATTAAGCATTAGAAGTATAAAATTAAATAGGTGTTTGTGGGAAGATGCATGCAATGGATGTTGTTAGACGGCATGCTTTTCTTACTGAACTCTTCAGATATTTTTAAAGAGTATGTCGTAGGGTGAGTTCAAAATATACAGCGCAAATTGATGTTTAACACCTTAAATTGTGAAACTTAACTGCCCTGGCTTCTTGTGGAAACACTACTCATGGATTCAGAGAAATGACGCATTCTGGCTTTAAATGCCCAAACCAGTTTGAAGCTGCAAAAACTATCTGAAAGGCCACTTGCTGAAATCAGGAGAAATGTATCTAGGAAAGTAATTTCTGTATGCATACTCTAATGCCTTATTTTACTGAACATGTCTTATTATACATTGCCAGAAACTGGTTATTGAGCTAGGGACATCTCTGGCCTGACTGAAGAAGGCACTTCTCACAGGCTAAAGGAGCAGCAACAAAAGCATCAGTGGGCAAAGGATGTGGTCAGCTGTCTTGTTGTTTTGGGCATTTCTGATTTAAAGCTTTATAGAAATGGTTTTTGTTGAGATCTGAATTTACTGAAATTTCACTTTCCTTTAATAACATCTTATATTTTTACCTTAATACTGTGCGCCAGGTTAATTAATCTTGCGCTGATCGGTGTTCTGAATAAAGTCCAACCCTCCTTGATCCCGCATTAGTAGGTGTCTCTGAGCTGTACCTGTCACCTCCGTTATGGCAGCAGCCATGTGGCAGCACTATATCCAACATACCACTAGAGGGCTTTGCTCCCAGAGTATGAATTGCATTACCAAGTTAGAAAAAAACGGCATTTCATGGGTGTGTCTCACGATATGACAGACGTTGTCTCAACTTCTTTTGACTCCAGTTGAATTAAACGCTGTCATTGCTTTGATCAGATTTATTTATTTTCACTAATGATTACTTGCCTCAAGTTGGTAAGGAGGCAGGCATGTTTTGATGAAAGGGAGTACATCCATATTTAATTATCAGTGGGGAAATATTTTAAAACTGAGAAAAGGAAGCAATAACATTTATCAAAAAATAACTTTTATATCCTTAATGGTCATCAAAGGCAAACAAATCTCTTCCTCATTTTAAATTCTACATATGCTGGTGAGTTTCATGTGTTCAGTCGCTTCCATATTTTATTTTTTAAAGTATAAATTAGAGAAGTAGAGTTATCATATTTATTTTTCTTCTTGTCATGTTTCATATTTTATATAGTTTTTTGGAAGAGTAATTCAGCTGAAAAGAAAAAACTCATTCTTTAATTTAGTGTCACGGCTTGCAACATTTTATGCTCTGCTTTATATTTGTAGTCTACTGTTTCATAAATAATTTATGAAAATAATTAAAGTTTCTGTGTTTGGCAAAACAGGTTTCACATTTGGTAAACTAATACAGTCAGATAGTTTTGCCAGGGGTTTTCCCCGCCTTCCCCTTCAGAGAGCATATGTACATGTTGCGTATTAATAATAAAGTATAAGACTTCACCGCTTACTGCTTAAAAAAAGTTTATTTACATTAAGTTCTGAACCTGATTTCTATTTATGCCACATCTAGTTCAAAGACCCTTTTGTCATGTAGGAATTAGAGTGAACACAAAAATGAAATGCATGTACTTTTTTCTGAAGTGGAAAATGGAAGAATCGGCTACCACGGGCTTAGGTTTTTAAGTATGAGAAAAAGACATTATGGCAACCTTGAAAGTATCCAGATGTGTATGGGGAAGGGACAAAAAGTATATGTGTACATCATGAGAGTGAAGATAAAAGTTTTGAAGAGGGCTAGCATGGGAAGTGAGATGTTTGAAATGAACAAAGAGGGGTAGCCCACGAGTCTTTTATGTATGCATGCGTTTCGAGTGTTACAAGTCACTGCAGTGTTTTACACTGACCTCAGCACTGGCTTTTCTTCTTCCTCCAAGCAAACAGGAGAGAATACAATGAACTGGTACTTCGGTTGCTGGATGCCAGATCCTGCAGTCCTTTGCTCGCATGAGTTGTCCCATTGATTGCAATGGGACTACTCATGTATGTAGGGCTTCTTGTAGATGGGTTGGTGTGACCAAGGGTTTATGGGTTTGAGCTTGGTGTGGGCTTTGCAAAGGACAATGATTTGCCTTTGTGGTAGCTGCATGATTTGCATTTTCTTTGACCATGGCCCATCCCCATTCTCCTTTCATGCAATACAGCTTGTCTTAAGAAGCAAAAAGTTGTTGTTTAGTCAGTATTGTTACATAAGAGGCAGAACACAACTGGTGTATATACTGTATTTCTATGCATTTTGAAAAATCCTGGTTTTGTGCTGGTAAAAACCTACAACCGTCCTAAGTGCTGGCTTGGCTATATTCCAGCGTTGCTGGGAGTAGCATTTGACCATATCATAGGGGTAGCAATGGTAGTTTAGTGTACTGAGCTTCTATTACCTTTCACTGGTAGTCACCTAACATAAAGCTCAAGTTGAGTCTGAGAGCATCGGGAGAAGTATGTGGATTAAGCAGCTAATATCTTAATGTAATAAAATAATTGTCAGGTCGGGAGGGGATTCAGAATATGAATCACTTGCCAGTGATTCATGCTGGTAAATCACACTGAAAATGATGGTAATTATAAATCCTGCCTGGTGGTTATAGAGATCTTGTTCTCTAACTGGTTTTTGTGGGGGTTTTTTTGTTTGTTTTTTTTCTCTCCTGTTGCCCCTCTTCCTTTCGCCTTTTCCTCAGATGGGGGGCAGGATCAAATGTCTGAAAAAAGGAGAAATAAAGTGGAAGAAGGAGTTGTATGTGGTTATAAGTGCTCCATAGGTTTAAACAGAAACCTTACTACTTAAACAGAGTAAAGATGGGTTTAATCATTTTATGGCAATTGCTTCTTCTATAGATGTCCCTGTGCAGACACCGCTAAAAAGTGAGAACAGTGTGTTTCATTTAAGTTTATGATTTTTGTTTGGCATTAATTTGGAAATGAAAGGTTGTAGATGCATAAAGCGTGGGAGAAAATAGAAAAGGGTAATGGGGAAAAAAAAGTATTCAGTCCCAGGATTTTGGGCTGCTTTGTGTAGAAGGCTCCCTTTTAACCTTCTTATTGTAGTGAGGAATTTTAAGGAATGGGATTTTTACTGATGCTAATCAAAAGCTATAAAGAAGAGACTTCAACTAGCCACAACAGAGACAGGATATTTGATACCTGTGGGCCATATTATTCAAGTTCAACAAAAATCTATTCAGTACTTGTGATCATCTTATTACATATATTTTTATGAATTAAAAAGATACTGTTTTCTTTTCTAGTTCCCCTCAATCGCCAGAACAAACTCTACAAGAGATGGTAAGTGGTCTTTATGGGTTTCTATGTGATAACTTAGTCACATTTTATACAAAATGCACATAAACAGTTTTATTGAACTGTCAGTGCAGACATTAGATGTGAAAGTAGCTGAATGGCTTTGAAAATAGAATTCAGATTACAACAGTGAATGATTTGTCTACTCCTGGGAAGACTCCAGAGACGTAGCAGGAAAATAACAGAGGAATGATCATTTGCCTTAGATTTATAGCTTTTGTTTCCTTGAGGAAATCTCTTATTTCCATTTATTCCGCAGCTGAAAAAGCACAGACATAGAACTAAGTTAGACTTTAAAGTGTTCTATTCCTTTTTCCACCCCAATGTAAAACATTTCTGTAATTCCTTTTTTAACAGATGTATTTTTAAAATTCAAATGTAAAAGGGGTTTTCAAGGGTCACTTTCAACAAAAAAGCCACAAAAAGTAGTTGGACAGGCACCAGCATCACAGTTCTGTCTACATGAACTGGCTTTTTGTCTTCCTTTCGCCTAAATTAACAACTGGAGCTAGTCAGCTAGACAAATCAGCCAGCTGGATTCCAGAGCTTTCAGTAAAGTCATCGAGGCCCCTTTTAGAAACATTTTAGAAGATAATTTTTGAGCTTTAAAAGAATATGTTGTCGTCTTTGGAAACACAGAATGTGAGAGATACCTGCTTTTGTCAAGGTTCATGATGTTTCAAAACTGGATTTTTAAGTAGTGGAAAAAACAGACAAAATGTTCTAAAAGTAACCTGTGAATGTATCAGATTTGACAACAGGACATTCTCATCTGGCTGCTGAAGGATGAGGAGTCAGTGTGACATTCTTAAACAAAGCAAGAACAGTAAATAAAACATTGTTCATCCTAGTTGGGTGATTAAGAATGAAAAAATTCCATGTGGAAGGCAGATGCTTTTCTTGCACCCACTCATTTGAGGAATAAATCTTCTGAAATGATTTCTTGCAGCATGGTCTTGAAACGGTCTTGCAGCAGCGCAATGTTAGACGAACAGGAGAATCAGAAAGAAGTTTCACCTCCATGAATTGTTATTTTTCAGGAAAGATAATTTGTCTGAACTTTAAAATAACATAGCTGAGCCCCACAGCCCTTCACAAATAAAGTGGAATTTTTGATCAGAAATTCTTAAGGAATGCAAGTTTGTGGTAGTGGCTTTTCTTTATGGACTCTGTTGGCCAGAGGTATTTTGTTTCTGAGGGTATGTACCGATGACCTTAAAAAGAGACAGCATTTGTAGATCTTTTATGGGATAATGGGCTCAATTTTGCAGAAAGAAGGGAAACATGAGAGTTACAGTTATTATTCTAAACTCTCCAGCATTATTGCCTGAGAACCAGAAAGTGAAAACAAATGTAAGTAAATGAAATTAACCTCTCTTGATATTGTTAGCATTAAATGGAAAGTATTTCTTAGGTTTGTTTTTTCTGTTTTGTTTTGGGATTATTATTTTTTTTCCAGAGAATCATTCTTTTAAGGCTATGGAATGGTGCCAGTGCAGATCAAGAAAACACGCTTAAAGAAAGATTTTTGTCTTTTATGCCCTTTAAAAAAAAAAACCACAAGCTAATAAAGGACTGTAAATGTCACATTCATCTCTGAAAACCTCAGCTAATCTTGCCGTAGTTTTGAGTGTTTGCCAAAGCGTGGCTTAATTAAAATTCTTCCAATTTAAAGTACAGGCATTCCGTTTTGGCCCAGATAAAAGATTTTCTATGGAAATTAAGATGCGAGGGGAAAGAAAAAAACATTTCCTATTTATTTTACTTGTTCTAGGCTCTAGTTTACTTTATAGCCTGCTTTTAAGATCCTCTATTATCCCTTCTTTTTGAGAGTAGAATGAGGAGGGAGATGAAATGGCCTGTAGGAAGGAGGCTTAAGGGTAGAGGGACTGTGGGGCTTTGTAGTGGCTGGTGAAATCTGAACAGTGTGAAACTGCTTTTTCAGGAAAACTAAGATTAGCTGCAAGACAGGAGAAGGCGTGTTACAGTTTGTTTCATTCTATAGAACTATTTTTCCATGTACTATATCAGTGGTACTTTATTACCCCTTTTCATGTGTTGGTTGCTGATGAGTACAAAAGGGAGATTTACTGGCAGCTTGCACTTGGCTAAATACAGTCTTCTTTTTGATCGAGGCCATGATGGATATATGAACTTGGCTGAATTGCCATTTGACCTTTTCTGAGAAACTTATTTTGGCAGGCAGATGGTGGAAATATGTTACTGGATAAAATGAATGCCTTTGTTTAATATGGAGGAATTTTAATCTCTCGTGTTTTCTGTCTGCGGATTTGGAAATCAGGTGTAGGTTGTAATACACACACCTTGGAGTGATTCAGTTCTTAAAACTCACATGAGTGGCTAAGGAGTTGTGGAATATATCCACACAGCGTATCCCCTAAAAAGAACTGATTCCCACTGTAATAGCACGAACACTTGGAAAATACCTTCTGGACACTACAACTTCTTTATTGCTAATTCTTCACTGGTAGTTGTGTTGATGCAGAAACAGTCTCTTGTAAGAGTAATGAATTGTAGTGTACTTGCACTGTGTTAATACTTGTCCTTTTTCAGATTGATATGGCTTATCATAGAAAAGGATGACTAATGATTAAAAGGCAAACTTTGCACTTGCGCTTACAGTGTTTTTCCCCTCAATTACTGTTTGTTTTCTCTCTCTCTCTCTCTCTTTTTCCTTTGTTTTTTTGGTGTTCTCTCCCTCTCCCCCATGTTTTGGACACAGGAGGACACTGAGCCATGGTATTCTCAGCAAGTGTATGCAAGATACTGGAAGCACTATGACTTAGCCATGCGCTGGATGCGTAGACACCAGAAAGCCTACAGGAAAGCAATTGAGTCCTTTTATCGCCTACCGTGGCATCCTTCTGCAGCCTCTCCAAGTAGCCACTACTCAGATTGGGATGGGAATGACCTCCCACATACCCAAAACTATTCTTCCAGCTATAGCCCACATGGCAGAGCTCCATACTGTGGGAGAGCTCAGCAGTACACAGATGTCCACCAAGGGACGGAGGATGCTGACCAGGACTCCGAGATGGAGGAGGACTCTGAGTCTGAAGGGGAGATAGAATATGACTTGAGTAACATGGAGATCACAGAGGAGCTTCGCCAGTTTTTTGCACAGACAGAGAGGCACCGGGAAGAACTGCGTAAGTCTGTGCTTGTGCTATGTTTTCTGGTACTTGGCGGCTGTAATGTTGAGTGGTGGATAGCTTCAACATTTACAGGTTTTGTAAGAATTCACAGAAATAGGCACTGCACATGAGCAAGCCAAGCAGAAAGAAGCAGGCAAAACTGGTGGGTGCACTTAAGTGCCATTCATTAGAAATAGGTCTCAGAAAACGTTTGAGAGAGAGAAAATTATGACTGCAAAGAGGACAGTAACATACTAGATCAGAAGACAATGTTCACCTTCAGTGCTGAAGGAAAAACTCCAGAATTTTTATGGTTAAATCTAGCTAACGTGCTATATGTCTGAGAGGGGAACCCAGAGGAAGTGCTTTACTACATCACTGAACCCTAGAGTAAGCCTCAATGCATTTTATAACGTGAAGCAGCCATTTTGTTTGTTATTCTTTGGCAGTAAAATTCCATGACCTTTTTCTTCTTCCCCTGCATCCCTAGGGTACTCTTCATTCTGTACCATACCACAAGTTTCTCTTTGTTTCGCATCTTGATCTGGACCCAAGTCCTTAAGCGGGGAATATAAGCCAAAGACTTAAGATCTTTCTCAGGTCTTGGTCCTCAGAGGTATTGAGCATCTTTGTTTCTGTGAAATCCTTAAAAGAAATAAGAGATAATGCTGTACTTTATTGACGCTTTGCTGCATATACAAATGTTGCAGGCAAATTTATTATCTGTTTCAAGAAAGCAGCATGATGAAAATAACTTCTCCCACATGACTCCAATAGGAAATACCCAGAATGAATGTTTAATAGAGCTTTCTCTGCTTTCTCTGAAAGAGAGAAATGCTCTAAAAATGCATAATAGAGGCAGTGATTGGGAAGGAGAGATAAAAATTGTGTTATTTTAAGTTCATTGATCAGAAGGTATCCAGTGAGCTGAAACACCTCAGCTTAACTTCACACTTCCCATCAGTATGATGATCAGTTGCTCTAGTTAGCAGAGGAATGTGAGTTAAGGAGCTCAGTGGTAGTGCCTGACATGCTTCCCTTTCTCATTGTGCTTTTGCAGAATCAGCTTGGTGTTCTCTGTTAAAACGTTCTTTGATGAGGTACAGGATGCTTTAAGATGCGTAGCTACTTCCAGAAATGCAGTACATTTTCTTTGGGTTTATTTTGTCTTTATGGTTAGTGGTGTTTAAAGGTGTGTGAGTGATCAAAGTGGTATCCTGGAGATTGGGAAATCTGGGCTTAGAGACGTTTTCTGTTGCAAATATCCTATCCTGTGGTATAGCTATTTAATCTCTTCCTGACTCTTTTTAGCTCTTGCTAAAAATATGATTTGACTCTTTATGATGCACAGGTAAATTGGGAAGAGGTTTGTAACTCAGAATACAGATTTTACTATTGTTCCTTCCACCGTAGCGGTACTTGGAGCCTTTTGGAATAATTAGGTCTCTGCTGTATGCCACATACTAGCCTACTACTGGGTAGGTGAAACTCCATTCACTTCAGCAGCACTATTCCAGATCTTTGTGCAAATTTAAGCAGAATCTGGTCTTTAGCTACTGCATGCCTCTGTTTCTTTAATAGTTTCCCTGATAAAGTGAGAATAATAATTATATTAGTCTGTAATTCCTCAAAGCATGAAAAAGTAAACAAGTACTTGATTTAATTGACATTTAAAAGTGTCACCGAACTCTTGGGTGAACAGTGCTATCTAAATGCTAATTTTGTGAGTAATTAAAAATACAGTATGATCTTGTTCAGAAATTATATTTTCTTGCATGGTGGGGCAAAAGAAAAAGAATAAATTTTTAATTCTGTTGAAATTTTTCAAAAGAAGAAACATAAGCAGCAGGAGGAGGGGAAAATCATTGTTTCTCTGATGGTGTGGAACTGAGCTAGTATAGAGACTGTGTTGAAGGCAGTCCCACTCTAGGAGGTAGTGTTATTAATTTTCCTGGATGCTGTTTCTGAACAAAATTAATTTTAGGGGTTCATTAAGCTGGAATTCGTAATGACAGTATCATGTTACATCTTTCATACTGTGCCGAAGAATGATTGTCAGTCTGTATCAATGCTCAAGAAGATGGAGACAATGAATCCACAAAATAAACCCACAATTACTTAAGTATTTCCTCTCTGATGCCTTTTCCTTTTAATTCCAAACCGTATGTCCTGGGCTGCCCTCCCCACACACCCCCACACACCCCCCTTAGGAGCAGATTTGTAGATAAACTTGGGCACTATAAAGCTCAATAATGCCTGAAATTTAGGCATCCATCTCTGGAAGAGACATTTGTAATTTGAGGTAAGAGTTTTAAATTTTCTCTACACTGAATGAGAATGTTTGGGCATGTCGAAGAGGAAGGGAATACCAAAAGTGACCTTGATGATCAGTTGAAGTGTAAGCCAGCTGTTAGGAAACATTAAGGGGAAGGCTGTAGCTCATGTTTTCTTTCTCCGGCATAAATAAGGGGCTCCAGGTGGACATCATAGAATCATTTGGTTGGAAAAGACCTTTAAGATCATCGCATCCAACCGTACCTGTCCACAACTAAACCATGTCTCTAAGAACCTTGTCTACCCGTCTTTTAAATACCTCTAGGGATGGTGAGTTCACAGCCTTTGACCCCTGCACCTTGATATGCACTTGGGAGCAGATGCCTGGCTTGCTCTTCTTTGAAAATAAATGCTATGCAAGAGTTTGTTACATGTTTATTGGCAGTTTGCTGAAGCGTGAGACACATGGGAAAAGAAGAGCAATGGGACAAATAGAAAGGAGGATTTGACACTTAAGGAAGGGCATACCAATACAGAGAGTGGAGGTCTGATTTATCTTTGTGAAGGGTGACTTCCATTAGTCTGGTGTTTTTCAAGCTCTGCAAAATTAGGAAATACTACGCAGCCTTAATGCAGCTATTTTGGACATGCATAATAAGAGTCTTCATTTACCAAGTAAGATGTATCTGGTTCCCACACATGATCTGTGTCTCATCGACTTGTAGAAGGATAATCAAATGGACTAAACCAAATCCTAGCTGATGATAGACCCTTCACTTCTAATGCCTTCTCTGGAGTCTGCTGGAGGTAAACGTGATCACAGACATCGGAGGGTAAGATCATGCAAACTTTAACAGTAGAAGACTTAAATAGGCCTGAGATGTAGGTGGGAAAGGCATTTGTGTCCGGATGGTGAAATGCAAGTATTAACGCTAATTGCAAAGAGAAAGGCTTCAAAAATAACAAAGCCATCATGTCAGACTAGGCAGAGAAGAAAACTTCAGGTTTACTTCATTTTTCAGTAACTACCACAGACTTGAACAACAAGCAGATTCCTAACTTCTGTAGCGATTCTTTTGTTTTATTTTGTTTTCACAGTAGGCATCTGCAGTGGTTGGCTGACTTGCACAGTAAAGCCTTTGAAGCTGGCAAACACTGAGCCTTGCTGCGTGATTTAACACTTCATCAGTGATACAGTTGTTCGCAAACAACCTCTTTTAAAACAACCTCTTTTTTTGTCTTTGAATTCATGTCAAATTCATACTAGTTTTTATATTCGTGCCATGTGTTGCAGTCAAGCTATGTGTTCCTGGAATGCCCTGAAGTAACTGAGCAGAGTTTTGCGGAGGCTGTATGAACTCAGATATGTTGATGCACTACAAACTTGTCTTGTGTTCTAGATATACTGTGCATTTGGTTAAAATCCCTTACAGACAGTTTTAATTTCTTTCCTCTTCAGTTGTTTCTTCATACGCAATCATAATTATCTAGTGATTCTATTTTTTTAAGGGGTTTTGTTGTCAGGCTAGTCTGCTGGTTTTGGTTCTTCATGTAACTGGTGAACCTAATACACTGCACTTCTTGGGGTTGTGTTTAGTTGCATTTAAAGGTCTTCCCTCTGGCTGTTGAAAAGCATTAAGTTATTTTTCTGGGCTACCATACCTGTCAGACCTAGGTAGTGTACCGAATTCTGCAAGCATCCTAGATGTGAAGGACAGAATACAGTACGTTGCCTTTTTATATTTGCAAGAATTAAAAGGACAAAAACTAAGAAAGGAAGATTCAGAAGCCTAACAATTCAGTAAATTGGCTAATCGCACATATTTATTACACTTTTAAATTTAGCCTTTGAAACATGTAGTTTGTCCTAATGCAGTTTTTCTTTGTTCCCTTTTTACATATAAGAGAAAATGACTACTCTAATTGAGTGAATACAGCATTGCGAGTACATTGAGAACCATTCTGTAGTAGTCAACAGGCAATGAGACAGTGTCCTTTATTTAAAAACAAAGAAAAGGGAAGGAAAGTACCATCATGTCAGTTCATTACTGAAGGATAATAGTCTGTCAATTGTTAATGCTATGACTAGTTTTTCCCATTAAAGCCTTTTTATTTCCTACACATACCCGCCAGCTTTTCCCAAAATAATGTTGTCTCAACTTAAAATTTTCAGGCCAGATAGAAAACCTTAAAAAAAATTGAAAGGAAATGGTGAACAAAGATGTTTGTTTCAAATCTGCAATTTGTAGGGTTTTTTCCCTTGGGTTTCTTTTTCTCTGAAAGATGATGGTTGCCACTGCCTCTTCCGTGAAGAGGAAGTAATGGAATTTTCCATGTTTTGAAACTTATTTGAATAGTACCAGATCCATGAAGCTTTTGGTTTTGTTTAAGACCTATGTGCTGCTTTGGAAAACAGACTTTGGTGCAGGTTTTTTGCCACCATGTTTTCCTTCTTTCCTTCGCTTTTGTTAAATGCTTCTCCCAGTTCTTTGTCTGTCTCTTTCTCCATCAGACTACAGTTCAAATTCTTACTCTTGGTCTCCAACATCTTTTTTGTTTCTTCTTCCCTAACCTGGACTGTCAAAGCAGTGTGGATGGTGACCTTATGTGCTCAACTTCCTTGGCTTTGTCAGCCTTGTTGTCACATGAACAACAGTCGTGGTAAAACCACTATCTTGAGAAGTTGCTGAAGAAATGCCTGTGAAATGAGTGCTGTCTGCAATATGTATGGGTGCTTGAGA